GACCCAATGTTTTATAGTAGTGACGATCTTTACAATACTGAGAAATTCCTTTTGTCAGAACAGATAAACCACCTATAAATAGATTTAGCCAACAGGCACCCCTTCATTCATAATCTGAATTTTAGGCTTTAAACTGCTTAAATTTGCTTAAAGAGAAATCAGATTAACTTATGTTAAATGAAGAAGAACAATGAATCATAAAAGCCTCTGACATCAACAACACTGATAACCTATCTCCCAACACCATGGAGCCCTAGCTCAAAACTGGGACATACACAGGCAAGCTCATGTTTGGCTACAGCAGGTATATTTACCTGTGGGAACAGAAGGCTCTAACAGGGGTATTGAACAGGCGGCCCACAGGCCACATGGAGCCCAGTTTGGTTATGAATGCAGCCCAACACAATATCGTAAATTTACTTAAAACCTTTTTTTTGCTCATCAGTTTTCGTTAGTGTTTGTGTATTTAATGTGTGGCCCAAGACAACTCTTCTTCCAGTGTGGTCCAGAGACTCCAAAACGTTGGACACCCCTACAAAAACTTTTGTAAAAGTTTTATGAAATTATCCAACAAAAGAAAAAGTAAAATAGATTACTTAACTAGAATTCTAGGAGGTGTACATCTTTAAATTCTTCTGAAGATATGGGTCTTTAGAAAAATAACTAGGATTTCAAGCAAACAGCTAGGAATTTCAGAAATAGTGAGTTTCAAGTTATGAACATATAAACGATGTGTGCAAAAACGACTTAGGATAATGTACAGTGATAGTGCTTCCTCTATATAGAGCTAATAATGCTAAAATGTTATTCAATATTTGGCCTTTCGATTTGTCTCATATTTTGAAGCATCCATCCATGACATCATACCCACAATGTCCCTGTAGAAAAGGACACAGCACCCATTTAAGGCCTGTTGTTGTTGGCCCAAGGCTCATCCTCCCCAGCAAGAGGCTTATGGACAGGGATCAAGGACACCTGTTTCAGTGGCATAGACAAGACCCTGGCTCAATGTTAGCTCTGGTTTGAAACTTATAAAAAACACAACACAAATTGTAATCAGAGTAATAACAACTTGCCTAAAATAAGAGTGAACTATTTGGATGAAAAAATAAAGCTGTACCTAAGGAAAAAAATTTCTTTTCCTAATGATGATACCGAATCCATTTATCATAATCCACTAGTCTCAAGAACTTCTGAAAATTACAGGGCAAACAGTTCAATTCTTTCCACCAGAAATTTCTTAAGAGTTACTTATGTTAGATATTGATGCAAGCACAATGCCAATCTGGAAGCCAGCCTTCAAGAATTATAGGCATTGTCTGCACTGGCTGGTGTGGATCCGTGTGCTAAGCACCCGCCTGCAATCCAAAGGGTCTCCAGTTCAATTCCCAGTCAGGGTACATGTCTAGGTTGTGTGTGAGGTTCTCACAACACCCCCTATTGGGGGCATGTGAGAGGCAACCCATCTGTGTTTCCCTCCCTCTCTTTCTCCCTCCCTTACCCTATCTCTTAAATAAATAAATAAATAAATAAATAAATAAATAAATAAAGAGATAGAATCTCTATTAAAAAAAGAATTATAAGCATTTTCTAATATACACTTATCCAAATATCAGTAAAAATTAACAGTCCATCTTTGATAAGCATTCGAACATGCTAATTTAATGTTCTATAAAGATCTTCAATTTACTAGAAATGAGTTTCTTTAGATGTATTTTGTATGTTGATCTAAAACCTATAATAAGTCAAAGTAAAACATGTACAAATTTTAGCTTACGGGTTTATTTGCATTATTTTATTTCTAAAAATTGTAATGAAATCTTTTACTATATTTCCTTTTATATTGTTTGAAATTTGTGATGTATGTACAGGCACCGCTTTTCAAACTAATTGAAATAAAATGAGTAACATAACAGAAAATTTGGACAATACCTCAAATAAAACCAAACCACATTCCTACCATACATTTCCCTCCTTCAATTACATTTCCCCAATACATACACACAACTAAAAAATAATTTTTAGTATTTCCCTCAACATTATTTTTTAAAAGATTTTATTTGTTTATTTTTAGAGGTGAAGGGAGGGAGAAAGAGAGGGAAACATCAATGTATGGTTGCTTCCTGTGCGCCCCCTACTGGGAACCTGGCAAGCAACCCAGTCATGTGCCCTAGTTTGGGTACTGAACCCGCTGATCCTTTGTTTCACAGGCTGGCACTCAATCCATGGAACCACACCAGCCAGGGCTCCCTCAAGACTATTTTCACATGGATTATTTTTACACAGTTATAATTGTGGTATCCATACAATTTAGCATACCGCTGTCTTCACTTATTATCAGAAGCACTAATCTCAATTATACTGGAGACTGTAATTATCACTTTGGAGGGACACATAACAGCCTTTCAGTGGATGCCTAACCCTTTGTCTAATAATTCAATTATAACTAATGTTTAGACCCTATTTCTAAATAGGGTCTACTCTTTAGACCCTATTTAGAATTCAAACAAAATAATGTTTGAAAGGGAAGGAATCCATGGGTGTGGTGCCCTTTACAACTTTGTCTATGTAGTCTACATGGAATTAAATCCTTACTATGTTAGATCCTACACTAGAATAATCCCTAACAATTCAGAATCTTCCTGTGACAAGTAAACTTTAAGACTTAAGACTTCCCTTAAAGTATACACCTAATAGGAGAGATCTTCAATTCCAAAAAACTGGACAAAAAGTGGGTTCAACAAAAATTTCCAAAAAAAGCAGGTTCAAAACAAATATGATGCACTGGCGGGTGTGGCTCAGTGGATTGAGCACTGGTCTATGAACCAAAAGGTTGCCAGTTCAATTCCCAATCAAGGCACATGTCTGGGTTACAGGCCGGGTCACCCGCTGCAGGTGAGCAAGAGGTAACTGTTCAATATTTCTCTTGAATATCGCTATTTCTCCCCCTTTCATTCTCCCTCCTTTCCCCTCTCTCTAAAAATAAATAATTTTTTAAAAGATATGGGAATTGAACAATTTTTGTACAATGAAGCATTTATATTTATTTAATTATATTTTATTGATTATGCTATTACAGTTGTCCCAATTTTCCCCCGTTGCCCCCCTCCACCTAGTAATCCAGCACTCTGTCAGGCAAACTGCACCCCATTTTTCATGTCCATGTGTCAGTCATTCCTGTAAGTTCTTTGACTACTCCATTTCCTATATTGTACTTTACATCCCCATGGCTATTTTGTTAACTACCTATTTGTACTTCTTAATGCCCTCACCTCTTCACTCATTCCCCCACACCTCCCTCCCATCTGGCAGCCATCAAAATGCTCTCTGTATCTATGATTCTGTCTCTGTTTTTCTTGTTTGCTTAGTTTGCTTTTTAGATTCAATTGATAATAGATTTGTATTTATTGACATTTTATTGTTCATAGTTTTTATCTTGTTTTTTTTAAATAAGTCCCTTTAACATTTCATTTAATAATGCTTTACTGATGATGAACTCCTTAGTTTTTTCTTATCAGAGAAGCTCTTTATCTGCCCTTCAATTCTAAATGATAGCTTTACTGAGTAGAGCAATCTTGGCTGTAGGTCCCTGCTTTTCATGACTTTGAATATTTCTTGCCAATATCTTCTAGTTTGTCTTTTGACAAATCAGCTGACAGTCTTATGGGAACTCCTGTTTAGGAAACTAACAGTTTTTCTCTTGTTACTCTTAAGATTCTCTCTTTAGCCCTAGCTGGTGTGGCTCAGTGGATTTAGTGCCAGTCCGCAAACCAAAGGATTGCGGTTCAATTTCCAGTCTAGGGCACATGCCTGGGTTGCAGGCCAGGTCCCCATTAGAGGGTGTAGAAGAGGCAACCACCTGTTGATATTTCTCTCCCTCTCTTTCTCCCTCCCTTCCCCTCTCTAAAAATAAATAAATATAATCTTTAAAAAAAGATTCTCTATCTTTAACCTTTGGCATTTTAATTATGACATGTCTTGGAGTGAGCCTCTTTGCATCCAAAATAATTGGGACTCTATGCTTCCTAGACTTGCATGTCTATTTCCTTCACCAAATTAGGGAAGTTTTCTTTCTTTCTTTCTTTCTTTTTTTTTTTTTTTTACTGAGCAGGGGCTCAATTGTTTGTTTGTTTTGAGAGGATTTAGAAAGTTGTAAAGCATGAGTCAAGACCAGCCATTCACATGAAAAAGCCACTATTAACAGGTTGGGTGGGCCGGTAAGTTGGGTGGGACAGAGCCTCAGGGGATCTCCAGGACAAAAGTGTTAGCCAGGTTGATGGAGTCTCAGATACGGCACCAGCCTCCCGGCACCAGCCTCCCGGCGCTGCGGGGGAAGGCCCAGCAAAGGGACAATGGCCTCTGCTCGCCCCGATGCCAGACACTCCAGTCTCTCCCTGTTTACCACGGGTGCCGTACGAGCTGCCACCCCGGTGCTGGAGCTCAGAGGGAGTGAATCTGAGTAAGTCTGTGTGTGGGCTCTTTATGAGGAACTGCTTGGGACTCCTTAAGTTTTTTTCACCAACTCAATACTCGCTGGTTTTTGCAGCCAGAAATTATTGGGACTTACCTTCCTGGCACTGGAACACTGGGCTGGGGGGCCTGGCATGAGTCTAGGACTCTTTCCTCCCAAATTTTTATCCACCACATGTGGATTTGGGACCAGCCCATTCCACATATGCACCCCTACTACCAGCCTGGATTGATGTGGTTTCTTTAATACCATAGTTGTCAGACTTCCATTCAACTCAGTTTCTAACATTTCTGAATGATGGTGGTTCTATAGTTTAGTTGTAATTTTGATGTAGTTGTGGGAGGAGGCGAGCCATGTTTGCTTACACCTCCATCTTGACTAGACATCCTATGTATAAATTTTTTTAAATTTACACGTTAAATACTTAAGTAGCTATCTTCTAGGTGATGGGATTATACTGATTCTTATTTTTCTGATATTGCTAATTGGTATTATTTACTTTCACCTTTTTCTTTTCCTTATTTATTTTTTAAATATGGAATGCCTCACAAATTTGTATATCATCCTGAGCAGGGGCCATGCTAATCTTTTTTGCATCATTCCAATTTTAGTGTATGTCTGCCAAAGCAAGCATTATTTTCATCTTTTTTAAACAATGAACATCTATAAAAAGAATTTAGCTCCTACCCAGTATGAACTCAACTGTGTACTTCTTTAGACAATCATGTGTGTCCCTGTTTCTATATACAAAAATGTCTGGAGGGGAATGCACTAAAGTGCTAATGGTATTTTTCTCAGGATTGTGGGATTATTGGTCCTTTTTTTATATATTTTATATTTTTCTGTATTTTCCAGTTCTTTAAAAGTAATAAGCATGTGTTATTTTATAATATTACAAAGGCATTTTTTAAGACACTAACAAAATTGCCTGTGATCCAAGCACATAGAGAAATGTCATCTGCCTCTTAGCAACCTATCCAAATTATAGACCAAGAGTCTCCCTCTCTCTCTCTCTCTCTCTCTCTCACACACACACACACACACACACACACTTCCCACATTCATCTGCTCTCACAGATTCACTCTCTCTCCCACACATTAGCTCCCACATGACCTGTTCACACACACACTCATTCTCTCTCACTCACACACACAGACACACTCACACACACTCAAATTCAAGGCTAGGGTAGAAATTCGAAAGGACACTGAAGCAACTAAAAGGTGCAGCCAAAAGAAAAAGAGGAAGAAAAGGTGCAGCCAAGTGTCCCTAGTGACTTCCAATTCCTACGAACAGAGGTGCAGGATTAAAAAACAGGAGACCTTCTGAGCATCAACACTTCCTTCAACAGCCTACTTATGCAAGTAACCGTACTGAAGAGGACAGGCAATGCCCACAAGGTTCCTGAAGGGCATTCAGGGCTTAGATGGGCAGGGTTCCCCGGAAAGGATCAGCGACTACCAAAATATAAATGTGTAAGTGAGTGTAACAATACAATGTGAAGGTAATCTTTAGAATTAATTCCTTTGAAAAAATAAAACCAAAATAAACCAACCCTTTCTCACAATATTCTTAGAATTTATTCTACAATTTCTACTTTACAATGAGTTAGTGGTGACTACAGTAACATCAGCCCTCTCAGTATGAAGGGGTCATGTTGATGAGGAATCTTCAGAAATGGCTGTGGCTGTTAAAAATAACCTATTTAAGTTCACAGCTAGTGCCTGGGCACATGTGACTATCGATTCCTGTTTCAACCAGAAAACTCCACTGTAGTCCTCTTTCTCCTTTCCTCTGCAGATTCCTGTTAATACTTATATTACACCACACCTGATCTGTCACCAAATGATGTAATGAGATCCAGACACACCATGACATTGCTGAAGAGGGACACAAAAGCCATTTGTATTATAAATAGAAGCTGCTTCTAATAAAACTTCAGATACAGCACAAATAATTGTAAATGTTTCTTTTACAAGTAGATTACATAAAAGATACTGAACATGTTACCTTTGAAAATTTTGCAATAATCAAAATAATCTAGTTGCTATTATCAAAGACAGTAATGTGACCAGCCTAAGAGTCTCATGCACACAGTATTTTGAAATCTCAAAGTGGAAAGTAAAAAAACTTAAGTCTTTATTGCTGTTATCCACCTTATCTGAACAGTTTCTAAGGTTTTAAAAAATCATATACTTTAAAACAAATCTTTATCTTTTAGAGATATAAACTAAAATATTTATAGATGAATGATACATTACATGTTTCAAAAATAATACGGGTTGGGGAGTTTACAGGTGAACCAAAACTGCTGAAACTGAGCAAGCAATGGTTAGGAGGCAGAGAGGGAGTTCACTAGACTAGCCTTTTCTCTCTACTTTTGTATATCATCTTCAAGACTGGTTGTTTTAAGATTTTATTTATTTATTTTTTTTAGAGAGGAGGTGAGAGAGAAAGAGAAACATCAATGTGCGAGAGATACATCAAGTGGTTGCCTATAGTACAACTGGAGACCTAGCCAGCAACCCAGGCGTGTACCCTGACTGGGCATCAAACCAGCGACCTCTCAGTTTGCAGGCCAGCACTCAATCCACTGAGCTGCACCAGCCATGGCAAGACTTTTCATTTAAAAATTTTAAAATATTCATCATGAGATAGAATTCTTTAATTTTCTTTAAATTACTTCATTATCAGAGAATATTTCCTTTGCTCCTCTATAATGTAGTCTTTTTTAAAAGATTATATTTATTTTATTTTTAGAGAGAGGGGAAAGGAGGGAGAAAAGAGAGGGAAAGAAACACTGACTGGTTGCCTCTCATATACCCCAAACTGGGGTTCTGGCCTGCAACTCAGGCATGTGCCCTGACTGGGAATGGAACTTGAGACCTTCTGGTTTACATGCCAGCGCCCAATCTGCTAAACCACATCAGCCAAGGCATCCTCTATAATGTATCCTGATAATGGACTTGGAAAAAGCAAGCCTCAATCATAATAAAGGACAGCAAGACTTATACCAACACAAAAGTCAACCTTTCGTTACCCTATAAATTATGTGCTCCTAAACAGATCTCCTCCACCATCCCCGGAAGCTCACTCCAGTCTGGGTACTTAGACCAAGTCTAACACTGCTTCTTCCTGAGCAGCCTGGGAGAGCTGACAGAAGGGGCAATGCCATAGGTTTCTTGCACTCGCCCATCCCCACCAAACCCCGACTCATATGAGCCTTACCACAAAACTTAAAATTCCATCGGGAGTTAACACAGCAAAGAATTTTGATGCATTTCCACTTTAGAAGAAAGTTCAGCCCCAAATAGCAATCCAAAGTTTTTCCCATTGTGATCAGTAAGGACAGTTACAACAAAAGGTGTTTCTCAAGTGAAAAGGAGTTTATGAAATTCAATAAATTGAAATTTGGTGGGAATATTCTGAGCCACCAAATCTAAGAAGTGGAGAGCCATCTAAATGTTATAATCCAAAACACTTAGTTCTGGTTCCTATTCTAAACACTGAAAATTTCATTTGTGGGGTGTTGGGATTGTGAGGTATTGGGAAAGTTGTCTAACCTTTCTGGGCTTCCATTTCTTACCTGTAAAGTGAAATGAAGCCTGCTTGCATACTGCCTCAGAGAATGGTGGTGGTGATCCAGCGAAAACATAAATGAGCTGTAAAGTACTCTATCAGAGTCAGGTTATGGCAAAAAAAAAAAAAAAAAAATATATATATATATATATATATATATATATATATATATGTATGTGTGGCATTTTAAAAACAGCTTTGGTGTAATAAGAAAGGGTACATTAGGAGAAGACCCATCACACTAGTTAATAACAATCAAAGATGCGCAAGGTACTCTCCAGCCCAGGAGCAAGAAGGAAAAGCACCAAAGAACCTGGACCAGCAATCACTATCCCTGCTAACCATAGAGAAAATTATATTATCTGTATGCCCATTAGATTAAGACATGGGAGACCCACCTGAGCAATGTCTTCCAACCCAGAGCTAAACACAAGCACTATGCTGATGGGAACTGACAGGGGCATGCACATCTTCCTAGGCTCAAGGAACACAGTGAATACTGGGGTATGGGGGCGTAGGGATGGGTCCCTTACAAAGGTTCTCAGTTACAACACCCTAAATATAAGGGTGTCAATTTTACCTCTTTTCTTAAAAATCTCTTGGTTTAAACATGCATAGGTACTTGAACACCCACTTAACAAATGTCTCCATGTGCTGAGAAATCAATAAAATACAAAAACCTGAAGATCAGCATTTTAGGGAGTTCCTACTACTAAGCAAAATATTTAAAAGTGAACACCAGTAACCTATTTCATGTCTACGCAGTTATTAGCAGAACACACACCATAACAGCCCTGCTGTTATCTCCACCAACTTTCAGGAGTGCTGACTGAGACCGAAGAGAAGGGCTGGATCTGGAGACCCACCCTCTCCCCGAGCAGCTGCAACCCTTGGACGCTGCGTAGGACCCCTGGCACATTGCACTGTGTGCATTCCCATGGTCGCCTGTCTAACGTCTCACCTCTCCTAGAAGAGTGGAGGTGGCCCTGATAAGTTCTGCTCAAGTCTGTATTCACCATGGCGCTCGCAGGCTCATCCCCAGCCTGCGTTCCCCCTCATCATTCTCTTTCCTTCAGCACAGAAGGTATAGAAGTGAAATTTTTTTTGTGTTCACTATCTCCCAAACAATAAAAGATGAATCTACGTAGAACATATGCCAAAAAAAAAAAAAAAAATGTGTCTATCAGCATGACCTTAGGCAGCTAAGCATAGCCTGGCCTTTGAGGTCTGAGGAAGTGAATTACTTCAGCCAACCCAGATCTGGGCCCTCAGTTAGTGGAACTGCCAGGCACTTCATTCAGGGGGCACTTCTATCAGGCAAGCACCATGTCCCTACACCAGGAACTCTTCCCGGTTTAAGAAAAATCCAGGTCCTGCGGCGCGGGAGAGCAGCGGGGCGGGGGTGGTGGGCAGGGAAAGAAACAAACTCCCTAGAACAGAACCTCTTTAAAGGAGGAAAAGGAGCTTTGGTAAAACTGAACCAGAGATGAGAGCCGAAATGAATAAAAAGAACATACGGGACCACTAATCCTAACCATGCATTTCCCGAGCACAGCGGACCGTGTCGGCCTGGAGGAGGTGCGCAGGGCCAGGCTCTCATGCTGAGGGCCCAGGCGCGCTCGCCTAGTTACCTGCTCTGCCCCGTAAACCGTGGCGAACTGAACGAAGTCCTCCATGCGGACGAAGCCGTCCCCATCCCCGTCCAGGGCATCGAATACAGCTCGGAGGCGGGGGCCGTCCTCCGCACACCCCGCGGGCTCGCTCGTGAGGGAGCGGGTCTGGCTTAAGTCCGACGGCTGGTGCGCGTCCCCGGGACCCACATCCAACGTCAACTCGACCGTAGGCGAGGGTAAAGAAGGGAAGAAGTCGACCTCGCCCCTCCTGTGGTGGCTGTGGCTAAAATCCTGCGCGCAGAGAGACGCGCTTTCCTGGCAACTTTGGGGCCCATAATCCTCTGACTCTTTGGTCCAGAAAAAAAGCGGGCCGAATTCGGTCAGCTGCTGGTCAGGGTCGGGATCGGGGTCGGGGCAGGCGGCCTGACTCGGCAGCAGG